ACCCGCATCCCCTACAACCCCAACTACAGCCTCAACCTCTGGAGCATCATGAAGAACTGCATCGGGAAGGAGTTATCCAAGATCCCCATGCCCGTGAGTGGGAACGCAGCCGGTGGGTGAGCTCAGGACACCCCAGAACCCCCCATTTACCTCTTTCCTCCCTCCCAGGTCAACTTCAACGAGCCCCTGTCCATGCTGCAGCGCTTGACAGAGGACCTGGAGTACCACGACCTGCTGGACCGGGCAGCCAAGTGTGAGAGCTCGCTGGAGCAGCTCTGCTACGTGGCCGCCTTCACCGTCTCCTCCTATTCCACCACTGTTTTCCGCACCAGCAAACCCTTCAACCCTCTCCTGGGGGAGACCTTCGAGCTGGATCGCCTGGAGGAGAACGGGTACCGCTCCCTCTGCGAGCAGGTACCTCCCGCCCCGCTCATCCCGCCCCGGGTGCCTTGCGCGGGGTGCTTGGAGCTCATTTGTCCCCTTCTCCTGCTGGTCCAGGTGAGCCATCACCCTCCTGCTGCTGCCCATCACGCTGACTCCAAGCATGGGTGGACGCTGCGCCAAGAGATCAAGATCACCAGCAAGTTTCGAGGCAAATACCTCTCTGTCATGCCTCTGGGTGAGTGCTGCAGCCCTGGGTGTGGGGACACACTTGGGAAAGGGAGAATGTTGTATGCTCCACGTGGGAATGGGGTGAGTTAAGGGCCCATTCCCAGCACAACTTCCCTCCTCAGGTACCATCCACTGCGTCTTCCACTCTTCTGGCAACCACTACACGTGGAAAAAGGTCACCACCACCGTGCACAACATCATTGTGGGCAAGCTCTGGATAGACCAGGTGGGCTGGAAACCCCCTGTGTGTGTGGGGGTCCCGCACGGGGGCACGGATCGATCCCTCCGGGCCCCAGTTCCCCTCGTCAGTGGGGCTGAATCTGACCATCTCCTCCTTTTCCTCTCTGCAGTCAGGTGAAATAGAGATTGTCAACCACAAGACGGGTGACAAATGCAACCTCAAGTTCGTTCCTTACAGCTACTTCTCCCGGGATGTGGCGAGGAAGGTGGGACACGGAATGAAGTGGGACGCGCTGGGATGCTCCTGACACCCAGTTGTCCCGTTTCACCCTGTCCCTTGTCCCATCAGGTCACCGGGGAGGTGACAGACCCCATGGGGAAGGTGCATTTCGTCCTGCTGGGCACTTGGGATGAGAAGATGGACTGTTATAAGGTGACCCTGGGTGCTGGGGACAACGGAACAGAGGGACGACAGAAAGCCCACGAGGCTGAGGACAGCCGAGTGCTGCTGTGGAAGAGGAACCCGCTCCCGTGAGTTGGGAACAGGCGGGATGGGGTGTCCCAGTGCTGGGGAAGGGCCTGAGAAGGGTTCCTCTCCCATAGGAAGTATGCAGAGAACATGTACTACTTCTCGGAGCTGGCGCTGACGCTGAACGCTCCGGAGAGCGGCACAGCACCCACAGACAGCCGCCGGCGCCCCGACCAGCGCCTCATGGAGAACGGGCGTTGGGATGAGGCCAATGCTGAGAAGCAGAGGCTGGAGGAGAAGCAGCGTCTGTCCCGCAAGAGACGTGAGGCTGAAGCTGCCAGAGCCACCGAGGATGGTAAGGAAAGAGCCTGAGGGCACCCAGTCTGCTCCCTGGCCTGTCCCAGCCCCAGTGTGGCAGC